TCTCTCTCTCTCTCTCTCTCTCTCTCTCTCTCTCTCTCTCTCTCTCTTTTACTCTCGATCATCCGACGGTTATGGACAGTGGACAGTATTTCAGGCCGAATGAAGCTGGTGAGCTGGATTACTGCTCTGCTTGTTGAAATTTGCATAGAAAATGCTCTTTCTCTCGTTACAAAACTTGAGTATGCCGTGCTGCTGCCGCTGCTGCTGTTGCTATTACTTATATTTTTTTTTTTATTGAATTTCAATTCGTTTTCGAAAGTTGCTCAAATCGTACGCTAGATCGATTCGTTTCATTGTTTCGGCTGTTTAAATTAAAACACTTGTCTTGAGCATTTTGGACTTATTTTTGGATTTATTTGACTATGTGGATTTTTTTATTTCGTCGTCTTATTCTCTCTTTCTCTGTTTTCTTTTCGCCCAATTTGTTTTCGTTTTTCTTCTTTCTTTGATCCAATCAATTGGAATATTGGAGCAAGTTTCGTAATTAATTAATTATGGGCACACATTTTACTCTTGCAAATCTATTCTCAGTGTGTGTGCAACTCTTTTTTCCCTCATTTATCATCTTATACAAAATTAGAGGAAGAAGAAGAAAAAAAAATCACTCAAACAGAAGCAGTAAAACGATACATAAATTAGGCTTAAAATTCGATTCAATTACACCGATCGAATAGATGAACATATTATATTATTTGTACAAATTCATACCGAGTTAATAATAAGTAATAGAGTTAACTGTTTAACCGTTAACAGAACAGAAAAAAAGAAAGAAGTGGTTAGAGAAAAAAGAAACACACACACGCATACAACGAAGGCAAACAAAAGTGTTTGACGGTGTATATAGGAGCGGGACCGGGGGAACTTTTCAGTCGAAATTGATTGTGATAAGTTTAATTTCATTAATGTGTTGATTGTTTTTGAACAGTTTTGCCTGTTTGCTCAACAGTTCGCATACAGCACACCGTACACAAATCTTAATCGGATCTGGTCGATATCGCAAATATGAACCCAGAACCGTAAACTCATGTAAAAGCCAGATACTAACAAAAAAAAACGCCTGCATCATCAAATACGAATCTTTTTTGTTTTTTTAATCTGTTTTTTTTTCTGTTCAAACTTTCGATACAAACTGTTTTCTAGGCAGTTTTTTTTTCTCTTATTATTGTGCCATTTTTATTTACATATATTTTTTCCCCAATCGAACAGAAAAAAAAATAATCGAAGGAAAAAAAATAAAATGTTAATCGAATGGAAAAGATAGAGTGAAAATACAAATTTAGTTTAATGCTACCTGAAATTTCAATCATTTTTTTTCGCCTGTTTCAGTTAATGGTATCATCTCGAGCAATTCTATTGACTAGATCGAGAGGAGAGTAAGTTCATCTGACTTTGTTGTGAAAGAGAAGAGTAAGTTTCTTTCGACTCAAAAATGGTTAAAGGCGAGTATGTTCATTTTTGGCAGGTCCTCGCGGTGTTCCACGGTTTCCGCGGAACTGATAAGAGATAACAACTTGGTGTTCGGCAAAGTTGTAGCACTCGAGGTCTTCTATAACATTGCTGAAGTCAGTTATCTCTTATCTCTTATCTCTTATCAGTTCCGCGAAAAGCGCGAAAAATGATAAGAAAAAAAAAGTTCTATATAAAATTTGCTTTTTATGTGCGCGATTTGCGCGCAACTGATAAGAGATAAGAGATAGATGTCTTCAGCAATGTTAAAGAAAACCTCAAGTACTACAACTTTGCCGAAGACACCATGTTGTTATCTTTTATCAGTTTCGCGGGAACCGTGAAAAACCGCGGAGGCTAGACGGGATGCCAACATACTTCCTTTTAACGCAGATAGAATCAACAGAAATCATACTCTCCTCTTTCAAAATATATTAGAATTTTTTCACATACTCTCCTCTCGATCTAGTCAATAGAATTACGGTGTGCTTTATTCGGATCGAACACGTTCAATGACGTTTGTTTTCGCTGCGGAACATCATTTGACGCATTTTTTTTTCTTTCTGCTGTTTAAGAATTACGTAATCAATGTTTTGGGATTTACTTTTTAAAACGAGAATTTACCTAGCACCGTATAAAATGAGCTGCAGATAGGGAGAGAGAGAGAGAGAGAGAGAGAGAGAGAGGAAGAGAGTTTGTATATAACTATACATCTATGGGGTCTATACAAGTGGCAGAATAAGTGAACTGCGCACGAGTTGAAATTTAGCGCCACTGTCTGCCACTCAACAAAAACAAAACAATAATGGTGCGTCCGATTGTTGTGTTACTGTTGTGCTTAAGTCTTTAGGCATTGTCACAATGCATTGATGACGTTTTAATGGTGTTGAGCTGTTCTAATGAGCGCCACATTATACGAAATGGCCTGCCATCAATTGCAATTTAACTCATAGAAAATTAGTTCAAAATCCAAAATCTAAAAAAATTGGTCATATGATGATCGTTGAACAAATGATAATTATGCGTTTAAATTATGCGGTTTCTCCAAGGATGCTCGCTTGTCATTAAGCATTTCCTTGAGCAAATGATGAAATATTCTGAACAATTTTGCATTTTAATTGCTAACAATTTGCATTACATCATCCGATTCATTGCAAAGGATAGCTAAGAACTTGCAAATATAAACTTTTCAATTGAATCCAAACCAAATTTGTACAACTCCGAAACAAAGAAGAATGAGTTGCTCTCATAATTTGCATTGCAGTGAATTAAAAAAAAAATGGCAAAAACTTACCGGATCAAAATCTGAATCCCATAAATCGTTTTCCATGTCGTATAGGCCGTCCATATTGATGTTATAGTCCAGTTTGAAGTTGATTCGTTCACGTTCCAAATTCGATAAGTTCATGCGATGAATTGTGGTTTTACTTAATTTTTCTTTTCTTTTGATATCGTCGTCGTTGTAGTCGTTGTAATCGACGAAGCAAAAAAGAAACAGAAACAGAATTTCGTTCCAGATATCAGATAACTTTTGAGTCAATTGTTTTGATTCTCAAATGCCAGTGAGAGAGCCAGATGACCTTTTTTTACCGGTTTAATTCTTCTTACTTCTTCAGTTTTTTTTACCTAATTGTCATAATCACAACACACTCGATGAATTTTCTTCTTCTTGGTTTGCTCTTTTCTTTGCTGTTTATTCATGCGATGTGACAGGTTTGGAATGTCTTCGATGCTTCTTTTTCATGTGCCGCAAAACAATATATTACGTATATTTTTCTTATGTTATTATTACTTTGTCCGCTGTGCGCTCAAGTTCGTGTTGTAATGAATGCGTAACTTGGTTTTCGTTTTATTTCAAGAAAACATCACATTAATTATTAATTTTGGAATTTTGTTGTGGCTGGTCTTGGAATTTAAAATAATTTTTTTCTTCTGGTTATCAATCAAAAGATTTATCTTTTGCCTATCAGTTTTCTTTTATCGTTGCACACACAAATTTCTATTTTGGTCGAATGTATAATTATCGTGGGCGAAATATGACGGTTATTCCGTTTGCATATCTGATTTCGGAACCAAATTGAAACAGAAAAACAATTGAGGTTAATATTGTTTATATTGCTTAATCGTTTGTTATAGTTTTTTTTTCTCTCTTTGCCCAGATGCTGTCGAAGTATAAAAAAAAAATGATTTGAATCTTTTAAGAACACACACAAAGTTATGAAACGCTCACTACAGAAACCAAATAGATAATGTTGCTTTTTTTGCTACAATTTATATTGTTTATCATCACATGTCGTTGATCTTGTCAGTTGATGAACAATTTTTTTTTGTCACTCTCCAGGTTTTTTTTTTTACGTTTCGTTGGGTTGTTTTTTTTTTTTAATCTGTTTTGTGTCACCATCGACTGTGTGCGCGTGCAGTAATTTTCATTACCTGTGGCACCGTTATATGTATATGCAATATATATGTATCAGTTGCGCAAGTCGTATCGAACGATAGCTTGCACTTTTACTACGGTTATACGCGTTTTTTGCTCTGTACAAATATTTCGGAACGTGTACTGCTGCAACAGGATGTACGGTTTAATTTGATACACTTTTGTATATGTAATATAAGTTCCGCATAGAGTCAATCTGTTTGGTGGTTTTTTTTCGCGAACTGTATTAATTGACAACAACAAAACAAGTAACAAGGTAGAAAACAATAGGTGATGTTGTGATGGCGCTGAATAGTTGCTGTCGATCAGTAATTTTGATAAATTCGTTTGAATTTTCTCGATTAAATAAAAAAAAAAAACTATTTCGTCCGTTCGTTGGTTGGTTGTGTTATCGAAATGTAGCACACAAAAATTTCGCACTCAAAATTTCAAGTCTTTAATAGTGCTGACTATGCTCCATATAAGATAGATACTTTCTCTCATTATACTCTATATCTCTCGGCTTTTAACGACTTTTGTCTCGTGCTTTTTATTTCGTCTCTCTGTCTTTGCGGTGCGAGTGTTTTCTTCCCGTTTTTTTTTATTTCTTACTTTTCCTTTTGTTGGATTATTTGCAAATTTGCGATTGCGAATTCAGCTAATTTTTATTTCTTGCTCTTTTATTGAAATGCCAAAGTTTCTCTCTCTCTCTCTTTCTTGGCTAGGTTCCCCGCGCAAATGTTTTTTTTTTCTTTCTTTCTTTTTCCGTTGTACTCACTCGTCAGTCTCTTTATTTGCTGTGCATCACCAGTAACAGTTTTGATACGTTTTTCATTTTCTTTTTCGCGCGCTGTTTATTTCTTTGTCTGGATCTATTGTTATTTTTTTCTCTTTTTTTCTCTCTCGCAACGCTGTTGTTATTGTTTCTGCTTCTGCTTCTGCTGCTGGTGGTGGTGATGGTGGTGTATTGTTGCTAAATGAGTCTATAATTTTTACTTTAACTGTGCCTTTGTCCGTTGACCACGATGTGGAACACAACCAGCAATTATGTGAAGATGGTGAAAATAGTTTGATGCTGGAGTAAAAACAAAAACAATATGCTGATTTTTCACAATTGATTCCTATATATGACAACAAAAAGAAGAAAGAGAAGAAAAAAAAAAAACGAAACGAAAATGAAACGACAGAGAGAAAAAACACCGAACAAATAAAAATTGAAGGAGACATGAATTAACAACAAGTGTTGTATGATTTTTGTATATAATTAGAATATTGTATTGCGTTCGATCGTGTGCTAACGGGAATGTATCGAATTTAATATCGAACGAGGAAATTTATTCGATTACTGCAATAACAGCTCAATTTTCGTTTAAATTTTTATTTAAAAAATGTGCGCTTTTGCGCCTTTTTCCACACACACACTCGTCATGAAGAATAAAAATGACGTCGATTCGATACAAACACTTTTTCCTGTCTTTCATTCGCCAATCCAGCCAAAAATGAAAGACAACAACAACACACAAAACAGAGAGGCAAAAAAAAAGCACGAAAAGAAACCAATATAATTTTTGCGAACGTATGGAAATGTGTTCGATTCGTTCGGCGGGTACAATTAATATTCAGTCTTTCTAAACAAAACGTAAATACACGCGAAAAGCAAAAGAATGGGAAGAAGAAAAAAATTCCTTCAAAAACACTTGTTGAATACATATAGATATGTATATACACTTTGCGCTCTGCGCACAAAACAGGCAAACTCCATTTCATTTTTCGCTGGCATATGGTTTGTTTTTTCGGTGTTGTTGCTTCATGTGTTCGAACAAAACTAGACACATTTTGTCGTTTTCCATCCCAAAATTTCTTTCTCGTTGTGTTTTTTTTTTCGATTCTTCGCAAATTTTCTTCAAATCGCGACTACAATAAATTAGAAGACGAAGAAAGAAGCAGAAGGAGGAGGTAAAAAAAGCGTAATGAAGAGAATGATAGAAAAAAAATACATGGTAACCAGTTTTAATGTATGCGCCGTGTACCGTCGATATGGTCAACAATTTCTTTTAATTCAAACTTTGAAAATTCCATCGATTTCGGACTGTGTCCCGTTGCACAATCGTAGCGCACAATTTGATAATGCACGCAAATTCGGTGGTGTCGCACGGTATCACGGTCCGAATAACTTTATCAAAATTGTTTATGCACATCTCTTTTTTCTTGTTTTCTCATCCTCCCATTCGTCGTCGTCGTCGTCGTCGGTCGTTTTTGTCTATAAAAGTGTGTTTATTTTGTTTTTAACACTGTGACCCTGAAGAAAAATTGTTGAACAAATCGTTAAAATCGGATTTGAAATAAGAACAAAGTGGACAACAACGAGAATACCGTTGCCGCGAACTCTTGGTCGATCCAAAAAAAAAAACCACTCACAACCAACTGAAATGATTCGTCAGTCAAATGTAATGTACTTTATATTTTTTTTAATCTTTACGACGAACGATAATATTTGGTAAATTTGTACCGAACAGACGAAGAAAAAAGCGCGATTACGACACGCTCACAAGTATGAATCGAGCGGTATCAACAACAACAGAGTGACAGAGAAGAGAAAAAAATCCTAACCGGCATTTAGACATATAGTGCTTATGTTTCTTTTTCCTTCTTCCTAATATTAAATAGCTATTTCTTTTTAACAGACTACACTAAATTATTGAACTGTCAATTGTTGTTTGACGATCGGCTGATAAAGATTCTTTCGATTAATTAAAGCTTTTCGCCGAACTTTACTTTCGAGTAACATGAACAACATTTCCCGGGAAACTGATAGAACATATCAATCTTCACCAAAAATCAACCGAAAAAAAAACTCAATAACAATATTCACACAAAATCACGTACACTCAAACAATCGATTCCTTTAATGAAAAAAAAACAAAAATTCCGAAGAAATTCTTACTCTGTGTCAAAAACAACAAATAACACCAAAAAAAATATACACGATTTTTGATTAATAAATATCGAGTGATTTGCTTCTATGTTTTTTTCGGCATAAGCATAAGTAGCTCCCGCTTCTGACGGTATTCGAATGTGAACTAAAAACTCGAATCAAGCATATACAGTTCTTCGTGTGTGCTTTTTCTCTTCTCCTTCTTCTTCTTCTTCTTCTTTTTCTTCTTTTCTCTCTCTTTCCTTTCTTTCTAGTTCGGTTCGGTCGCTGCTGCTGCTTGCTGCCTGCTGTTGCCTCTGCTTCTTCTTCTTCTTCTTCTTCTTTCGTTTCTTCTTTGATAATTTTTCTTGTTTTTGTTTTCAACCTCTCACATTTCGAGAAAACTGTAAAGCAAACGTATACTAATATTACTACCAAGAACCGTGTGAAACATATAAATCGTACGGAAATGAGCAAAAATGCAGTAAAACAACAGAGTGTATGCTATTACTAAAACCGCACAAATCAACGGCTAATGTCGGAATGTGTTCACGTTGAATAGCCAAAGTGAGCATATACACAAGAAACAGCGCTCAATGAAAGAAAGAAAAAATAAAATAAAATAAAGTATCATGTAAATGAAAAGAAATGACGGACACACAGAGAGTTTGTATATGAGTGAGAGGCGTGTGAAGTCACACTAGCGAACACTGAGCGAGAGGAGAGCACCATATGCAATACAAACAAACTGTTGCGCTCCATAGTACACGCTCTCAGCAAATAGGGTGGCCGTGTATATCACAATTTCGATTGATAGCTTCGCTTTGTTGATAATCATCAACCTATTACAATGCGGGGGGGCACATTTTGTGGATGACAGAATGAAGCTTTGAATCGTCTAAAATTGAAAGGACCGACCTTTTTAGAAGCTCTAGTCGTATTGACTGCAAAATGACCTCCTGCAGTAAGAGATAAATGCCCAGCCTACAGTTAGTTTCTCATTAAGATGCAATTCGTCGGCTCATTATAGAATGCCAGACATTCTGGAATCATTCGAGCCATATCCCAACCGTAGTTACCCGAATTGAAATTTATCCACTGAAAACGGTCGGAATCGAAATATTGTTAAAAAATCTATCGAATACAAATCCAAGCCACCCTAGCGTACGCAATCGCGAAGTTATAGTAGCCGCATATATACATACACCGAAAGATTTTCATTTCGCATTTCGTGCTCTCGCTCAATCACACACACATGGTAGCGCGCGGGCGCAAGTGACTGAAACGCGCTGAAATTAATCTGAATGTGACAAATAGGGTGAACTAAAAGTTGTACCAAGAGAGAAAGCCATCATTTCGACTCAATTACGATATTGTTGTTATGCGGGCTATGGATCTATCGGAACGACCCTATCCAAATTGATTTGGAATGCCAATACAAATCTACCGTTTTTGCCCATATAAAAAAGCCGAACCAAACCCGACGACTGATAATCATACTGGTAACTATATATATATATCTTCTCCTTGCTTTTTGTTGTGTTCACATTTCAACAAGCCGGTTGGACAGAGCACACACACACACACACACATAGCCCAGCACAGCACAGAGTGCGGTGAATAACAGTGGTACAACTTTGGTTTCACAAAATCGGAATTTTTCTACTTCCTAATACATGCAAATTGGAATTTTCGCATTTTATCGAGATTCCAGCCAATACCGATGCTGAATTCACTTCAAATGCCAATGAATGAACACCGCCGCCAATAATCTCCAAGCAACGGCGTATTTGATTCAAGCTCTTGTTTTGAAAAACCAACGAGCTAGATGTTAAGAAGTATATGACACGATACTAAATCTATAAATATTTCGCCCAAAAAGTTCTATAGAAATTTCAATTAGAATGCAAGGTCATTCACAAAGACGAGGTAAAAAAAAGTAAGAACGTTCAACGACAATCACCGAAGGCAAAACCATTACTTACGCAGCAACCAGCGTAAGCAGAGAGTTGTTGAAATACCTGCGGTGTTTTTGTTATTGGTTTGTTTCGATTGGAATCGAATGCTGTTGGAAAGAGAAAAAAAAAAATCTATGCTTGATAATTGTTTAATTATGTTCCCATTGAAATTTGTACAAATCGAAAGCCATCATCTTGTACACACAGTCTCGATCTCTGCGTGGTAAATTCATCGAGGAGTATTAGAAGTGGTCGCGTCTGTATTCATGCACGTTTAATGGTTTAATTATGGTGGTCAGTGTGCTAATGTCCATCGACTCTAATGATACACGTCCATAAAACCAATGAATGCATAACTATTCGCTTCAGCTTTTTGCAAAAATGACTTCGTCGAACATTTATTTGATCAGTCTGGTTGCTATGAAATATGAATAATTTCAACGACAAAAAAAAATTTGAACCGTTTTAACCAATGTGGAATGAAAAAAAGAACGGTGTAAATGACGGAGCTTGATGCAGAGAAAAAATAGCTATGACTTTGATTTCTAATGAATGCTGTTGCTGGCTGAATGTTACAATGGTTCGATTGGATGGTTAAAATTTGAATGCACTTTTTTTGCTGTTCAAGTGCGACTCTTACAGGTGTCTGTATCCATCATGTGATTCTTGTCTATACATTGTCTCTTTGGCGGCGAGCCACTTCAATAACTTGACTCGATGATTATTCAAAAGTCTCTTCACATTTTCTTTGTAGAAAGATAGAAAGCAGCAGTGTAGAATCGTTGGAAAGAGAGAGAGAGAGAGAGAGAGAGAGAGAGAGAGAGAGAGAGAGAGAGAGGGAATGAATAAAAGAAGAAAAAAAAGAAAGGGACAGGAAGCTAGAGGCAGATACAGAACAAAAAATAGTAGACGAACACTGAACAAGTGCGGTTTTGTTGTTTAGTTAATAGATCAATTAAGGTGTCTGCTGTGCACTGATTTGATGTACTTTACCTTTTTGTTCATTGAAAAACTACCGATCGACGGAAGGAATGATGGAGTAAAGAGCAAAATGTAAATGAATTAATGAGCGCCGTTTCATCCGAAATTGAATTAAATTTTAATTTAGAAAAAACTTGGGACAAATTTTCGGCTTTTTTTACAACAAGAAAAATTTGGGTGATTTTAGATTAGAGCAGAGGTGTCTACTATTCTGAATCTCTATAGCTAAATGTACCAATCAAGGACACACCGTATTTACGTTTGAGTAAATAGGTAAAATACCTTTCAATTTTTCTCTCCCATTTATGTCATTATTGATATTTGCATTTTAATTGTAACGATCCCCTGAATTTGTATCGATGAAGAAGAAAACCTGTTGTGCTCTATTTTTCGAAGTACAAAAAAGGTGTTTATTATTAAAAATTTGTGTCAGTACAATATAACTAGTTGATATGTCTACAAAAAAAACAATTACATATCTAAACCATAATAACAAAAATGTTCGTGTGAGTGTGTGTGTGTGTGTCTTCTATTATAATATCTCATAAAACGGTTGTTTTTTTTTTGTTCGATGGGTGCGATGTCAATTTTGAGAATAGACAAATTCAATTCGACATACGCACAACTCGACAATTTTAGTTTCTGTATGAGTGTACCATAATTGGTTAGAAGCACATTCGATGAACAAGAATTTACAAAAAAAAAGTGCGTTAAGAAAACTGAGAAAAAATGTGTAAATATGTAAATACAATTGTGAATTAAATAAAAATGTTTTTTTTGTTCATGCCAATTCAATCTTTTGTTCGTCGATGGTAACTTTTGTTTTTTTGTTAATTTCCGTTGTGCCGTCAACGCTATACTCAATGGGTACGGATATCTTAAAGTTTTTCGGGAAACAAATGCCTTTGTCGTCGGCACACAAGCTCATTTTGAATATTATTATCACTGATTCATTTCCGATTGCGCTTCCTTCGGCCGATTTTGGCGCCAGTAGCTCGACTGTAGCTGCCCCAATCGTATTTTTGCTATCGGTTTCGTTTTGTTTTAACGATACCGTGCCCGATGTCACCGAGCATGCTTGCCATCTCACATTCAATGTGTCTAGTTGCCATTTTTGTGGGGCGTCGGTGAATTTTACACCGGTTTTGGTCGTTAGCACAAATTCCAACGTGATTTTTGCACCAGACGTGTGCACAAGTAGTTTGGATGTCGTTAGTGTGGATAATTGATTCTCGGCTTTGAGCTCATCAAAGAATAATATCAATGGTTCTAGTGTTGAGGTACTCAAGTTTACAACGTCTATCGAATGATTGTTCGTATTACAAATGTACAGACGGCTATCGCATGGCGACAAACATAATCCAGCCGGTTCATTGAATACGACTGCATCGCCATTGGAATCCTTGAAATTGCACGTTGACACCTTGTTTGTTGCCAAATCAATCACTTTGATCTTGTGATTATATGTGTCGGCCACATAAAGTAAATGCTCTTTTTCGTCGTAAGCAACGCCGAGTGGATGTTGGAATTTGGCATTAATGCCAGTTGCATCGACATCACCAAAGGCGAACAAATTCTGTAGGATGAAAAGAAAAATGGATTTTCAATATCAACGAATCTAAAAAAAAGGTTCATCTCCTTAACGAAACTCACCAATGGATTTCGATCACCACCAGCCACAGCCAGAACTTTGCCATCGGCTAATACAAGCTTGCGAATGGAAGAACTTTCACTATCAGCAATGAACAATTCCTTAGTTTTTGGCGCCAGCGCCAGACCGGATGGTTGTGCAAATGCCGAATTTTGTGGATAGGAATTGTTTCGGTTTTCTTCATGCCCGTTGCCGGCAATCGCAGCGACTGAACCTTCAGAAAATTTCTTAAATTTCCACCAAATGGTTTCATCTTTGAAAATCGCCCAAATTTGATGCGTTCCCGCCATGGCAATCAAAATGATGTCACGTTCAGGAATTGCTTCACCATCAGCATGGAAACTCATGTCCATGTCACGTGTTCGGAAATTAAGAACATCCCATGGCGATGAAATCTCTTGCGATGTGCCAATCAAACCACCGGATTGATCGACTCCCTGTTTTCCATGCCCGGCAATGGTATCAACCGTTTTCGTTGTCAAATTAATCTCACGAATTGCATGATTCTCCGTATCGGCCACATAAATTATGTCGTTGCCATAAAATGACACACCTTGTGGTGAATTGAAGCGTGCTTCTTTGAAATTGCCATCAGCAAAGCCAATTTCTTTGCCGCCGATTTTTTCCACAATTTTCCCATTCGCTTGAAACACTAAAATACGATTGTTACCCGAATCCGACACCGCATACAGTTCAGATCCAATGAATTTACTACCGGACGAGTCATCATCACTTGTTGTTGCATTTCTCAATTGTCGCGTCGCAATTTTACCGGGAAATTTGAGCAACGATGCTTTGAGCAGTTTAGACGCTGGATTGAGTGCAATTGAATGGGTTTTCAGTTCGGCTTTTGCTTCATAAAATTGTAATGCTGCCTTGGTGTACTTATCAAGCCGTTGACTGTGCCCTTCTCCCATCAGCACAAAAATGGGATTGCCACGCGGACCAAGCACCAATAATGTTGGCCAACATTTTATATTCAAATTCATCCAGAGCGATGACAGCGAATCATTTACCACCGGATGCGTAATGTTGTAACGTTGAATGGCCGACAATATGTTGCCCGAATCTTTTTCATTATCAAATTTAGCGCTATGCACACCAATCACCAGCAAACCATTTTCGATCGTATAACGCTGTTCGAGCTTTTTCAAATCGGGCAAAATGTGCATACAATTGATACAACAATACGTGAAAAAATCCAATATAACCACCTTTCCCTTGAGGTCACGGTTCAGTGTTAGCGGCTCCGTTACGTTAAACCATTCAAGACCTTGAGATTTGTTTTTTTTTTGTAGATAGAAAGTTTTCATTAGGAATGGATTGGTTCAACCAATTATATATAATTTTATTTGATTGTAACTTTGTTTCCGTTTACAAACCTTCGGGAATTTCATTGATCGGCTCAAATTCTTTATCGATCTTCTTCAAATATGCATCGAGTATTTTCTCCTGTTCATCGGCATTCTTCGATTCTCTCAGCTGCACGGTGAGCTGATTGCAGTTGTATGCCAACAGATCAAGCATGTCATACTCACAATCATTTATATCCATGACTAATGGCGAAACTATTTACAAATATCTTAAAACGTCAAAATTCAAGTATATTTTTCTGCCATGCTCAGCATTTTGTCTTTGCAAATTCATTGACTTACCCTTGGTACAACAAAACAGAATGGACTCAATTTTTTTTTTCACAAGATAAGAAAATGCAATAATTAACTACAAAGACGATTCGTCCGATCGAATGATACAGAAAATATAAAAAGGAACCAACAAAAATGAAAACAAACACCAATATTATAGCTGTGTGTGTTAAAACTTTAAGAAAATTCGTATATATTTCGATACTGTTTGACAGTTTATACACAGTGTTATGCCTGTTCAAGTGTGAATGTGAACGCGTTCACATTGTCTTATTTCGTCTTAAAATTACTATAACTGCGTATACGAGCGCACTCTCTAAGTGAACGCTTTGGTTTAAACGTACATTTCAACACAATGTGCTGTGTTCATGGAATTTTTTGTGTGATGATTATCCATTAACGTGATGGTGATTTGCGTCCATTGCTTGCCTCGCTGAGTTTTTCAATCAAACGACCGCCGCATGAACAATTATCCAAATCGAGCAAATAAATCAACTGAAAAAATTGAAAAATCGGTAAAATGTCATGCAAAACTTGTTGTTGTTTCAAAGCGTCCAATTGATTCTTATTCCTCTTGCAAAAGAAAAATTATTTAAAAATGCTTACCGATGGGTGTTTTTGGCATTTTTTGTGCACTCGACCAAACAGAACCCGGTGACAAGTGATGCAAATCAAATGTGTTCGTGGGCGCTCACAAATGCATTCCGATTTTCCGGCAGCAATCACTTTCGGAGCAAAGCGATCGGTGTTAAAATCCATTTTCCGATGGAATTAATCGTTTTGACTTTGATTTAGAATGAAATCCAAATTAATCGGTTCAGAAATGAAATGATTGAATTTATCGTTTTCAAATGTGACGTTCGGCTAATGCGATCAAACACGTTCGACTGTTGACTCACAAATAATGCGTCGGTTTGTTTTGTATACCGTTATGCAGTGCAAATATATAATGTGCACACCGATGATGCGACGTGAACAAGTGGTGTGAAAAGGATAGCCGATCGTGTGTCCAATTTCACACAAAAGAAGGACAGACACAGCGATATCGCCGCATTTGAAAACACTTTAGCTGACTACGACGTATTGGAATGACCGTAAAATATTCTCAACGCAATAGAGAAAGATGCAAATCACAGCAGACGTTTGAAATTGGGCGCAATTTTCAAATCTGCAAACTTCGGATGATAAACGTCAGATGGTTTTGACTTTTCATGTTATCTTCTCGGTGTACAGCACAATAGATGATTGTTTATATCGCGAAAATTGGGTAAAAAACATTTATCATGACATTTATAAGTTTTGATTAAAGTCATCATCATCATCGTCCATTCAATACATTTACATAGATTTCGTGTAAATTGAACGACCGAAGCCTCATTGGATGATCGAATGTGTATACATTGTAATTTATGACGTATTAGAGAGAAGAAACAATCGTAAAACATAGTACACAATTGATGATTGAAATGAAGACGGCATATTGCGCTCTAAACTCATTGATGTAAGTAATTGACAATCGTAAGTGTTCATTCAGTTCGTTTCGAAAAAAAATTTAAATTTTAACGCCAAACGAAAACAATTGTTTTAGATAACTACATAGTGAGCGGTCCGAATCAAAAAGAAAATGTTGGAAAATCCATCGTCACCGACCTCCTGCGATGTTCGAGCATTTGCTGAGCAAACGCTCATCGATCGCATATTCATGGGCGATTACCAAGAGAAGCGTTACGTAGCTAAATTGAATGCGTACAAAGACTTGATCGTTCTGAACAGACAAGAGCAAATTCTTGCTGGTGATCTGAGCAAAGTGAAAAATCAAATTCTCGGTGACAATGTGAATGCATGGTGTGGATTCACCGATTCAAATGAAATCGGTGCACCGGCCGCCCATTGTCTCTGGACGACATTAGATGAACCGAACAAAGTGAAGGCGGACGCAGCTTCTGTGGTATTCGGTGAATACTGGTTTCAAATCAAGGGTCTTCGTTTCGCCCTGAATGCGGTGGAAATTCAAGTGACAGTTTTGCGGCCAATCGATCCAACATCGCCGATGCCAAGTGGTTTGGCCATTTCATCACTCGCCCAACAAGCGCTCGAAGTTGATACACAGAAAATCCAGCAATATGTCCAAGAGAATATTATCGAAGTTGATTGGGCAAACTTATTCAATCAATGGAAAGCATCCATTAATCAAATGGCCTATCGTTTTTTCACCACCGAAATTACGTGGACCAATTTCGTTCATTGCATTAAATTATTGGGCGTATTTTGTATTGCCTTTGCCAAACTCTCGGTGCATTTTGTACATTGCATCGGCGAATTTACACTTCGATTGGTGTTTGAATTGACAAAATTGACGAAGGCGGCCAGCCCGATTGTGTTGGCGGTGATAAATCTACTAAGCAAAATGATTGGCGGTTTTTACATTCTGGTGGCCATGATATGGAAAGATTTGTTCTATGGTGATAGTGGCAACCGCAAAAATCCACCGTCAGGCCTGAACAATTATGGATTCAACAATGGCCGTGCGCTGACATATCACGAAAATCCGCGCCCATTTCTACAAAGTTCCTCCCAACGACGACCAGCTACCCGATACAATTCCAACACATGAGCAAACGAAAATTGCTGAATAATTTGACAGCAAATTTCGAGATTTTCGTCCTTTTACCAATGATATGTATTCATTCAGTGCATTTGTGTTATTCTTTCCAAGAGTATTATTTCCAAACATTTATAAAAGTATTTTTATTTCTATTTTTTTCTTCTTCTCTTTTAAATTTGTACATTAAATTATATGCATTTATTTATCCGTTTATTTTTAAATCGAATAAAACTATATGGGAAAATGGAAAAAAAATGGATGGGTTGTTATTTATTTGGAAATATTTTTTTTCTCTTTCATTTCTTTCCAAAATTGGGCAAAAAAAGCAAAAAAACCAAAAAAAATGATTGAATAAAGAATGAACAAGTGGTGGCCTCTAGAATCATCAAATCAAAGCGAAAATTCCCAATTTGAACTGACGTATACATTCATACGATCATATTGATGAGTGTGTCAAGCACATATACATGCACATATTCGAGAGGCACACAAGCCTTGAGAAGTGAAATTGAGATTATATACACACAGACCGACGATAGGAATCAACAAAGCGCTGCGTTTGTGATGAGAGGAGTGCGAGTATGTGTGTGTGATGTGCGTATTAGTGTGCGAATGTGTGAAGTGAAGAAAGTAACAAATACATTGAATCGAACGCGAACATATTGTACGGAATAATATGAACGTCGTCAAAGACTTTGTGTATTCATCAGGCGAGAGAGAAAGAGAATACAGTCAAAAACCAAAATCCGATGTAAAGAAGAAGAAAAAAAAAATAATAATAAGAGTAAAGTGACGATTGAGAATAAGAACGAGTTGAAATAGCTGAGTATTTGACCGCGATACTGCGCTTCATCATAATTCTCTTTTTTTCTCACTTTACTAGAATTTACAATTTTAAAAAATAAATAACAAAAACAAAGTCTGAATTGATTTGCGACGAGACACATAGAAAATTACGAAAGAAAGAAAAATAAATCGTACAATTGTATTTTTGACTGATAAGTGTTTTGCGAAAGTCGATCGAATTGAATATTTGTTTATCTGAAAACAGAAAATCGAGCACAAATTCACGGCAATAAAGAAAAGAAACCAAATACAAAAGTGATCATCGTACAACGACGACGACGACGACGACGACGACGACGGAGACGACGACAACAACGAATTGTCGTGCATTGTTTTGATTTTTCGTCAAGTAAATCCAAGTGAAGAGAAGCATCGTTGTTTGAAAATCTGTAATTGTTGTTGGCTTTTTTCTCGTCTCATCTTCATCGCACTCATACTAGATTCGGTAGCCATAGACGCGTTTGTGTAATTTCTTTCTGTATTATTTTTTTTCTCTCGGTTCGGGTTCATTTATACTGTTGCAAAACAACAACAACAACAGAACAGAAAGAAAGAAGAAAAAAAATATTGAAATTTTTTTCGGTGGAATCAATCGATTCCAGTTATCGAATCGAGCAATTTTATGGCAAACAAGCAATAAATTGGTGTTCGGTGGTGATGCGAAAAATTGCAGCCCAACACGCAATTAGTTATTGGAGCTACAGAGCGCCCAGTTTGTCGTCCGTCGTGTGCCACAATAAGAAAATTGTTTCGTTTGAGCGTTGCAACAACAAAAATTTTGAGCTACGCATAAAAGTGTGAAAGGGACAAAGAGGGAGAGATAGAAAAAAGAGAGAGAGAGAGAGAAAGAGAAGGAAGGTGATCTGTTCCATCGCTTGTGACGACGCAACAGTTCTCGATTTGCTCTTTTCAATCGGACGAATCCGTGCAACGGAATTTCAATAAATAGATCGTGCGTGTTGTTTTTTTTTTTTGGGCCGTACGAAGTTCGAATAAACAACAACAATGGATGCTTGTGAGGCCGTCGAAAAGGAATTGCAGCGTGTCATCACCAAATTTAGTGGAGTGCATGAGCATGCCAAACGTATGCTTGGAGATGTGACCAAAAATTTTGAAGACTTAAAATCATCAATTGCTGAAGGTGAGTCAGTCAGATAAAACGGTATACCAACATCGTCTGGGTTAATAGCCTCGTTTCGAGATGCGTAATTTTTGTTTGTTTGTTGCTGTTTTCTGTGCCCATTTGGCTTTGTGGCTCTCTGGGGTTCTTTTTTTTTCTATTTATTTTGGCATATTTCGCGCGCGCCTCCACAATCACACACACATCAACAATTGACCGTGTATGCTCCTCTTCTTGTGTATGTGCACAAATGCATTTTATACGATGCGAATTGTCCGCCGTCGGTGTAAGTATTATTTTCGAGCATGTCGGACTTTTGTTTGGTACTGCGCATAGAGTATTTTGACCAAATGCTCCACTTCAAACTAACCATGCACACACACATTGACGCCGATGCGCTTTCAACACATAAAATTCGCGACAAACGAGTGAATCGTGCAATTTTTCTTCATAGTATACGATTTTGTGTTGTATACCGCACTCTGTCGCGCGATTCATTCGGAATAGATTCTTTATTTATATTTTCGTTGCCAGATGGGCATGAAGAAGCATGTGCAAAATTCAAATGTGAGACAAAAAAAAAACACCGTAACTTTGAACTATATTTAAACGGATTAGATTTGTTTCTCTGATTCGATATCGCTATCACGTGATCAACACTTTACAACATGCAGTAATTTTGAATTATACTAACCCATTCTCTCTCTCTCTCTCTCTCTCTCTCTCTCTCTCTCTCTTTTCCAATTCCCAGTTCCTGCCGATGAAAAATTGACCACCGAACAAATGCTTTTGTTGCGCGACACATTAACCAAAACAAAAGAGAAACTACAACGTTTGACAACCGATCATCGTGATTTACACGGTGCCGTTAGTAAAATCGGCAAAACCATCGATCGCAATTTTGTATCCGATTTTTCGTCCACCACACGCAACGATGTACTGATCGATGAGCAAAACATTCAATTGCTGAACAAAGTGATTGCCCAGCATTTACAACGAAACAATTTGGACGATGTTGCGGCAACTTTAATTAAAGAATCCAAACTGCCAGCCGAAGAAGTCGTTTCAGATCCATTTTCTAATTTACATCGCATATGGGAGGCCATTTATCGTGGCGATCTAACCGAAGCCCTCGAATGGGCCACCGAACATTCAACTAAATTAGAATCACGTAACAGCTCATTGGAGTTTAAACTTCATCGCATCGCATTTTTGCAGGTAGTTTTTATTCTCGTTCAAATCGAAGCGCCTACCAAACTTGATTAGAAAATTCTTTTTGATGATCTAAAAAAAATTAATCCAATTCCTTTTATGACATCCAGAAATTAGATGCCGAAAATGGTGGCGGTTCACCAATTGAAGCGATCGCCTATGCGCGCAAACATTTTTCTAAATTTGTCGATAAATTCGAAAAAGAAATTCAATTATTAATGGGCACATTGATGTATATTCCCGTTGGATTGGAGAATTCACCGTATCGCTGCCTTTGCGGTCCTAATCTAATGATTGAGGTGAGTGGTGTTGCTATCAGTTTTGCTCTTAATTGCCATATCTATTTTTGATCGTTCAACTGATAATAACCATTGCAAAATGTCCCATTTCTAGGCGGCTGACACTTTTTTGAAGGATGCTTGCAGCATTTTGGGCATAACTAAAGACTCACCACTAACCGTGGTCACCAACACAGGATGCACTGCACTGCCAGCTTTATTAAATCTCAAACAAGTTATGATGTCGCGTCAAGTGCTTGGCATTTGGAATGGACGAGATGAGCTTCCAGTGAGTGCCATCATTCATCATTCTGCTTTTTGCTGTTTACTTAATGTGCAACGCAGTTGATTACATTAAGATATTTAAAATCTCAAATTTCGCTACATTCTCCTAAAATTCCATTGGATTTATCATTCATTTTTGCTCGAAATTTTCTTCCAGATTGAAATCGATCTAGACGCTGAGCATCGCTATCACTCGATATTTGCATGTCCAATTTTGCGCCAACAGAGTTCCGAAGAGAATCCACCTATGAAATTGGTATGCGGTCACGTAATATCGCGCGATGCTCTAGACAAATTGTGTAATGGTCCAACGTAAGTGTCACCATTAAGGAAGAAATTAACATCAAAATTTGCTTCTGACGACAATGGTCAGATGTCAGATGTTTCTCTCGAAGATGATCTGTCTATTTTTCGATCCATGAATTATTAGATGTTTAATCGATGATTAATCTTCATCTTTTCGAAAAAGTAAATCGAAATGAATTCGTCTTCATTCATCAATGAAGCTTCATTTGGCTTGTTTTGTCTGTTAATGCGTATCAAAAACAAACAAAATTCGCTGCCATTGTGTTGTGGATAGAAGCAACAATTTTGTTTTTTTTTTAAACGCCTCAAACAAAGCATAAGCACCAAATGTAAAAATATCGATGGTGGGAAGTGAATCAAAACGCGATAAACTTGGAAAAATCTTGATAGCCCATTGTTTTGAGTGGAATAACCGATTGAGTGTTGCCTTGCTTGAGTGAATCAAACGTATTTTAATCATAATCTCTCTCTATTTCCAGGTTAAAATGTCCCTATTGCCCAGTTGACCAAAGTCCAAGCGACGCTAAATTGATATACTTTTAGAGGACATAGGCTTAGAATAGTCTTAAAAATTGCACTAAATAGGAGACCACGACAAAAAAAATATATTAAAATTGTTCTAACGAATTTGACATTTAATCGAGGAAAAAAGGAAGAAAAAAAATTAAAAAAAAAACACAGAATTTGAATTTTTAACAGCTTCTAAAAACCGAAATTTACGAAGTATATTATATTATATATGTGTACATGATATATTGAAGAAGAAGAAACAAAACAGACACAAAAAAAAACACAAAAAGGGAATAAAAGTTAAAATAATAATAAATATTATTATATGTTTTTTATGTTTAACTATCACTCAGAGGTGAAAATTGGAATGAGCATTCTAAAAGAGAGACAAACACAAACAGAAAAAAATATTCAATATTTTGGGAATAAAACGAGGGGAATTCATTAAGCAGAAACAAAAATATTTAAAGCGATTAAATCCAATCACAAAAACGCATTTTATTCATTGACTTTTAATGCATTTTATCTGTCTGCATGAAGTTTTCATTAGTGTGACCCGAATCATCGTTCGACAAAACCGAGCCTAATCACTTTAATTGCTCCAAAACAAACAACAATGAACTGAATGTGAGCTGAACGCGCCATGGAATCGCAGTCGAATATAGAAATAGAAAAATACATTTATTACGCGTTTCAGACATATTTAATCATGTTCTAATAACGAAACAGAAAAAAAAGGACAGAGATAATCAGTGTCAGAACACGATTCAGGTTGTTGTTCTTTTTTATTGTGTGTGTGTCTTGCTACGGGTGCATGAGCAATGACTAATAAAATTGTGTATCATTCGACATAAAGGCACACATATGCACACGATTCGTCAATGTCGATTGATTTTGTGATGTAAAATATAAAAAAACTAATGCATTCTGCACGTTTAGCTACTGTGTACGTATATACATAAAAAAAAACCTTAAGTGCTATCGACATTTGTCTCTTGTAGTTACAGGCCATGAGTGGACGGATTTTAAAGCAGTACATTGTTCACTTGACGAACGAGTGTTCAATGCAAAACTGTGCTGCTGCTACTGCTGTTGCTGTTGCTGTTGTTGTTTTATGCATGTATTTAAAAAACTATATCATTTCCAGTATTGTGTATATGGGGAAGGTAGAGTGTGAGCGCGCTTGCAAGTGTATATGTATTTCAGAGCCAAGAGTCAGCTGATTTATCGAAAGACACTGGGCCACACAAGTGTAAAAGAGATGGAAACTGGTTAATCAGATATCTGGTAAACATGCGCGTGTTTTGAATCAAATAAAATACAAGACACATAAACAAACACTTGCCTACATTAATCTGCCTTTATTGTGCGAAGCTACTGCTGCTCGAATCACTCGACCAACATGTGGTGGTGTGTGTGTTTTGTATATATGAATTACCGTTTAGCTATTCCGATTTTTTAACGAATCGAACGAACGAAAGATGAAAGAAAAGTCAGACAAATGAAAGATTTGCTCGACAAATACACGGGCCAGCCAATCCAATGACATTGAGTGTATGCGTATATGAGCTGCTCACAGTTGTATGTATATGACATGGGTTTAGCTTTACTGTAGCCATTTTTCATTGGTAGTCGGGTTGGTTGATGCCGAAATTGTTTGAAAAATTGAAGAAAAACTCAATTTCTGTTGAAATAAATCAAATTTTCTGGCCAAAAAATGTGGTTTTAAAAAAATCGATCAATTTTCCAATAAATACACCCAAAGTCCAGAAAAGAACGTAGCAAAAAAATTCGAATTCAAAATTGGTCGATTCGTCTTTGTCGCACTCAACCAACGAGTGGAATCGACTGAAAAACATAGTCGAAGTGTTAGTGTAACAGTGTGTACGAACATCTGTACATGCGGAGAGAATAAATAGAAAACACATACACAAGCACACGCAAACACACATAGCAGAGCCAAGCAAAACAGTTTTCATCAAAACACAAAGAACAGTTGAAGAGTATCGCTGCGTAGAAAACAAAACACAACAAATAAGAAAAAGTTTTATTTCTATTTTTTTTTTTTGCCCATTTATACAAATAAAATTGAAATCACGAATGTGCTGTTTGTTATTGCTGTTCCAATCATTACCATAAAATCAACTCAAGTCATTACGATTTTCGTGAAGGTAACGAACGAATTTTTTTTTATTAGTGCGTTTTGCTCTGGCGTTTCTGTGTCTCGTTGTTAAAAACGACTGAAGAAAGAAAGAAAAAAAAAGTTTGTATTTCCTTTTGTGACGTTGAATTTTGGAAGGAAAACAACAGCGACAAAGTGAAAACGAATAAAGCAATCGACGGCAAATTGAATATAATTTCTTTCCTATGAAAAACTCAAAGAATTAAAGTGAAAATAAGGGGATAGACAGTGAAAATTGCAGCAAAACAACTGAAATCATCCGATTTGGAGACAATCAACGAAAAACTAGATTCTAGCAACAATCCATTACAGTTCTTTATTGTTTAGTGCAGTGATTTTGGTTTGGGTTTTATCTCTCTCTTTTGCTCTCAAGTCAATCATTCATCGTTCATTCAAGTAAAAACGAAGATACATTCATGTACTTCGCTTTTTTTTCCGTCGATTAATTTTTGTTTTTGGCAAATGGTGATAGAACTGAAACTTGTTGTTTGTGTGTTATTAGACTGACTCATGTGAGGGAGAGAGAGAGAGAGAAAGAGACAAAGAGAGAGAGAGAGTGAGAGAGAGAGAGGGAGTGAGAGAGACGATACACACTGAGTGGAAATCAATTGATCATAAACACGAAAATATTATCAACATCATAATAACATCGAAGCCACACAAGAAAGAAAAAGACAGGGGAAAAAAGAGAATCATCTGTTGTGCATTTGACATTTGAACGTACTCTCCATCATCACTCACAGTGTATGTGTATGCGATTGTTTTGTTCGTCAACAACAACAACAACAATAACACGGCAGCAGCAGCAGCAGCAGCAGCAACAACACACAACAAGAAATACAGGGGAAAAAACCAGACCCAAGGATCCAACGCGATAAAAATAACAACTCAAACAACTCCAATAATAATCATTTCGGTTAAATAATAATTTGTTGATGAAAAAAAAAAGAAAGTAATAAATCAAATGCTAAACTTCCAAATTGAACGAATTTCAAATCGTTCAAAATAAAAAAAAAACTTCACACATTTCGTCGACGACGGCGTTTTCATCACTTCTTATGTTTTTTTTTTCTGCGCTGTTTGTTTGTTTGTTTGTTTGAACGGAAAGTATGACAACATCAACTGAATGACCGCCAAAAAAACGGATTTGATTCCACTTCAACAATAGCTTATTTTCAAATTAGACCATAAGAGCCTCAGTAATTTTGGAGTATATACACCTAGGCCATAAATAAGGAACATTTTGCAGTTTATCAGCAGAAGAAAGTAAAAAATTAGAGAGAAAATCGTTGATTTTAGTTTCGTTTATTTCTCTTTACACCGTTATTTTGCAATTCGTGACGAATTTCTTTTGAAAATCATTTCATAACGCCTTCATCATTCGATTTGGTTTTTTTTTTTTTACTTAAAAAGTGTTTGTGTGCATTAAACAAAAGGTTGTTCGCCCATAAGAATTTAACAAACCCAATACTGAAGACAAACTGAGAAATTGAACGTTCGAATTTTAAATCAAAAATGGTAAACGACATATGAAAAATAATAAAAAGTGTGCAAGAGAAACAGAAAACGAGCAACAACAACAATAGCAACAGCAACAGTGCCAGCAGCAAAGCATCTCAAGTGTGTGTGTGTGTGTGTGTGTTAAAACGAGACAGCGATATATATCTCCTCTATAATAATAATATAAATTAAACTCATTTATTCAATAAAAGCAGCAACAATAACGAAGAAAAAAGAATCGCGTTTTTTTTTGCGCTGTATTCAATGAGCGAAATGTACATGTGAATGTGTTAATGTGATACGTAGTAAATGCGAAAAATAAAACCAAAAACACAATCTGACTTATATCCACGAGCGACGATGTATGAACGGTAATACAACTGTGTGTGACCATACATAAATATATATACCAACAACAATAATAACAACAACAAACGGGCTCAACAAACGTATAGAGACACGAAACGTTTTTTTTTTTTCTGTGTGTGATTTCGTTGGATTTTTTCAATTTCGACTACCGAAATCATCAATTAAATTACCGTACATCTAGAATTTGTGCTTGCAACACTGTTTTAGCTGAATAGAATTTGTTTTTGTTTTTTTATCGTTCAAATTTTCCAATCCGTTGCATGATTTTGATTGTGTTTTTTTTTCTCGGTTCGTTGTTGTTCTTGGCTTTACGTTGAGATCCCGTGAACGCTACAAAGAAAGTTCGATTCGCGCTAACAGAAATTCGCTTGCAAACAAAATCGCCTTTATATAGCGAATTTCGCCAAGTTTGAATGTGTTTACAACAAATTTAAACGTCAGACTTGAGTGCCAACATCCAGTCCGAACAGCTGTTTTTTTTTTTCTTCTTTCATTTAAGTTGAAGTTCAAAGTTGCCGTAAAACACTACAATTCATTCATTTTCGATAATTCCGCTATTAAGTGGACGCTGAAGATATAGAAAAAAGAAAAGAAACAACAACTGATTGCACCATTCAATAAAATCAACATTTAGAAAAGAACAGGATATAGTGAAGGAAATTATATCGGAAAACTTTGCGCGAACAAGGAAGAAGAAGGAGGAAAAAAAATGCTCGATTTGGAAATTATACCGGAACGATCGCTAAGATGCGGAGATTGTTGGGAATTTATTTTGGGTAAATATACGTTAATCATTTTCGTATTTTTTTTTGTCTTCTTCTATTGTTGTTGTTGTTTTCATAGGCCATTAATCGGTTTATTGCGCTTTGTGATTGTTTTTTTTTTTTCGTTTTATTTACGTCGAATGAAACAATTTCATTCAAAACCAGAAAGAAAAACCGAAATTCGATTATAACTTAGCGCTTTGATATCAGTAGACATAGGGAAATGAGCATTCCAACATAGACACGGCACGCGACATCACGACTTATTGAATTTAATCGAACATCGTCTATATTAAAAACGTTATTGCATCATTCGAAAGAGAGAAGCGAAAAAGAAAACATATTTTTTCATTCGCCTCGCACTCCGTGTGCATACGATGAATAGCTACGTCGAAGAAATTTTTATCGCTATATTTTGCGTTACATTTACAGCCCAGAGCGATGCCTTTTGATAAAATTGAAACAAGAAATTCATTTTCAATTTTATTTCTTCATTTAAATTTCCACTCACTCTATCTGCGCAATAATTCCATAGACTTATTTTCCTGTTTATTGCCTAATCGATTAATCATTGACGTTGGAATTTTTCGGGAATTGTAACAAATATGAACCGAAAGTGCTCAATTCGGCCAAGTCGCCGATTTAAATTAAAGCGTTGTGTCATTCAAGCACAGATCTCTCATTTCGATATCGAAATAGGCAAAATGCATTGCATATACTATTTGGTATCAATATACTTGGTGTGTGACTTTTGTAATATATTAAAGTCGAGAAAACACTTGTCATTTATATATCTCGAAGCCATTTCAATATCTACCGAGAATACTAAAGTACGTGGGCAACACATGTCTTTGTTGTTTGTTTGTTTTTTTTTCTAGTTGTTTATTATTGTTGTGTGAATATCACACACACAAGTTTCGTAGCATTTGTCAATCCCGCTCTTTTTTTTGCTCTCGTTATCTCATATTTTGCTATCGTTCTAATACATGATCACTTTTTTTTAAAAACCATTTAGGCATGCATTTTTCGCAAGCGGTTGGAATCATACAGTCTCAAGTTGGTGTAATCAAAGGGGTTCAAGTGCTTTATTCGGAAACGGTAAGGACGATAGATGATTTCATTTAATGAAAATTTTCGTTTTTTTTTTGGAATTTTCAATTTTTTCTTTAATTTTTTTTTTATTTTATTTTTTATTTCTTCATTCGTTTTTTTTATTAACCTTTTTTATCAAGTTGAATCGTTATTATTTATTTCGTTTTCGATAAGATTTTGATAATTTGATATTCCTTAAATTGAAAACATTTTTTAAGAATTTAATGCATTTCAAAGATTTTTTTTTTTTTTTAAAGTTATTTTGAAATGTGAACAAAAACTAAAGCCATTTTCTATCCCATAGAACCCGTTGGGCGTGGATATTGTGATAAACCTACCACTGGATGGTATTAGATTGATTTTTGATCCGGTTGTGCAACGGCTTAAAGCCATCGAAGTGTTCAACATGAAATTGGTGAAGCTAAAGTATTAGTGAGTATTGGGCGCATTTATTTCTCATTGACGCTAAAATATTGATCATCATTCATTGATGCCATCTATAAAATGGTATTCGTATTCAATGTATTTAGTTTGATTTTTCTCTTCCTTTTTTGCATGTTCATTTTCACCACACAGTGGTATGGCATTCAATTCGCCAGAAGTGGCACCGTCAATCGAGCAAATTGAGCATTCGTTTGGCGCCACACATCCAGGTGTTTATGATGCGGCCAAACAACTGTTTGCCCTACATTTCCGTGGCCTCAGCTTCTATTTTCCGGTCGATAGTAAACTGCAACCGCACTATGCTCATGGTTTGGGCTCGTTGCATTTTGCCAACGGCGCGTCACCGGTTGTATCGAAAATGTCCGTGTACAGTGGTAATAATATGGCCGAAAGTCGACCGCCACCGATGCCATTGTCATGCTATAATCAGCAATTGTATTTGGAATCGGCAACGGTGTTGCGTGACTCAAATGGAACGCGAGGTGTTCGATTGCAATTGTACACCGAGGCATCGGCACGTGTGCTGGAGCAACGGAAACAGGTTTTAACGCGTGAAGTATTATTTGGTGACACATGCCAAGATGTGGCCGGCAATATCGGCGCACCGAATCGTATCTTCTATAAATCGGAAGATAAAATGAAAATTCATTCGCCGAGCGCACATCGACGCGCCCAAACCAAACGCAGTGATTTCTTTTTTAATTATTTTACGCTTGGCATTGATGTGCTCTTTGATGCCCGTACACAACGCTGTCGAAAGATTATTTTGCACACTAACTATCCAGGCCACTACAATTTTAATATGTATCATCGTTGCGAGTTTCAGCTACAGCTAACCGCCGACAAGTAAGTCACTGTTTTTGTTTTTGTTTTTAGATAGGAAAGGAAGTCCGTTAATTATTCCACATTTTTAATTAGTCCTGCTTTTGTATGATAATTAACATTGATTCGAATTAACCACAAAAACGACCACTGATAATTTACGCGTTTGTGTTTGTGTTTTTGTATTTGAATAGGAATCCATGCGATGACTCGCACAATGACCAAGTGTCCATTTCAGCCTATTCGAAATGGGATTCGGTGAGTTCACGCCTGGCACCATCTGAACGGCCGGTCGTTTTACACCGGGCTGGCACCACAAACACAGCCAATCCATTTGGATCGACATTTTGTTATGGATATCAGGATATCATTTTTGAGGTAAATTCTCATCGATCCACCTTTGTTTTTTTTTATTTTTTTTTTCATTTTGTTTGTGGTACATTTTGTTAAGCCCTTCCTTAACGTATCTCCCCATAATTTATTCGTGTTCACAACAGGTGATGCCAAACAATTACATAGCCTCAATTACGTTGTATTGTAACACATCATTTCCAACCATTTTGCCATACAACACATGCGGGAAGGCGTACAACAAATACCTATGCAATCGGAACAACAGTCAGGACGACACGAACAAATTGACCGCAGTATGATACAAATATCATGCTGCAAAGACCACACCGAATCAAATTACCATCTAATTCGTGTTGATGGTATAGACCAACTAACGCCGTTGACTAACAAAAAAATGAGAGAAAAAAACAAGAAAAAAACATAATTTAGTGCTTAGTGAAGTTGATGATTAAGTCAGTCTCATGAAAATATGGATAAAAACCATTTGCTACAATTAGGATTCACTTCTTCGTTATTTTGTTTAATTCTTTTTGTTCGAAAAGAGATATATAAAAAAAAAATCAACCACAAAAAAAAACTAAATGAAAATATAATAGATATATTTTAAAAGAATAGCATTCATAAATGGCTGTATTGCGAGAAGAAAAGAAAAGAAAATTCTCTGTGCAAAGACATTGGTTTCTAAATGCTTAAAATGATGATTTGTTAAGAGTTAGTAAACGATTTGCCCAAAGTTTGAAGGACAAAAAAAGAAACCGACTTTTCCCGTACCCAAAGTTTGATGAGGTACAAGATGCAACGAGCTTTGCCACGAAACACGGCTGGTTCGAGATTAAAAAAGATGAACCGTGTTTTTGACGAAAAGAAAAAATTCAAGTGACATAAGCCCGTGGTGCATCTCATACAATCCCCCTCCCCCCCCCCCCCCCCTCCCGCATCGAATTATCAAAACGATGGTCAATCGACCACAACTCTGAGAAAAGTAACGAATATTTTTCTAACAAAGTGATAAGCAAGTAACATACAAACAACATTAAGATAAGTCCAACAAATTGTGAACCGCCATAAAAAAAAACAGACACATTTCAAATCCAAATTATAGAATGTTTATTACATTATATTAACCACTTTCCTTTTTCTGTTTTCGAATCAATGAGTTAACCATTATTTTAAATGAAAAAATGACAAAGAATCAAAGAATGAAAATCATTTTGTTCAACATTGTGGAATATCCAATGAACAATTTTTTATGTGAGCAAATGAAGAAGAAATATTATATTAGATTTGATTTTTGAAATGCTCACCATTATTTACATTAGTTGAAATTTTATTTTCCAATTACATACTTTTCTCAGAACGAATAAAGAAAAAAATAAACAAATGAAATACAATTCCGCGGGGAGATACAATCTTATTGATAAATCTAATTTATTCAATAACACTTTCGCACTCCAGCCGTAATCCAAGAGCCAATTTTGAACGAAAAACGCCTCATTTTTTTACATTTGACGCTGTGAAGTGACATTTGAAAGATGTTCAATGTCATTTTAAAGATGCTAAATTTCATTTGGTCAGGCGGCGGTGGCGGCGTGTAAAATGATGGCTTTCTGCTCTTGGATGGCAAACGCGTTTTCTTCGATATTCTAGTTGAATTTATGTTTATACGTTAACACAGATAGTAAGAGAAGAAAAAAAGTGAATAAGAAAGCAAAAAAGAAAAAAAAAACAACAAAAACAGCAATATTTTTATACATTATTTTGTCATGTTTGAAATAGAAATGTGTGTGTGAGATGCGATCAGATTTAAATTAATCCTCATTCTCCATTTTTCCCGACCACAATCAATTTTCAACACACTGTTTTCTTTTCTTCTGCCCGCTCATTTATTCGATCTCAAGCAAGTGTTTTCAATCACATTTTAGGTGTTCGGTTCAGGAAAATTTAAAATTTGTGTATAAAAACAAACAAGAAAAACACAAACAGAAACAACAACAACCGTGCCAATGGAATAAAGAGAAAAGTATAAATGTTTTCAATTTTTGTTACAAATGCAATGTTAGTTGTAGACCAAAACAGAAGAAAAAAATAACAATTTCGTTGTACACACACACACACACACACGACGCATATATACCAAGTTACCACTTTTTTCCCTGAAAAAAAAAGTAATCAATTGTTCACAATCAAATTAGCGCTAATATAAAAAAGAAACGTAAATGTTAAATATTGGTCAGTACATGGTCAGAGCATATAGTTCATAGCTAGCACACTAATGCAAAATCGTTTTTTTTTTAATTTTTTCTTGTTCGGGACAAATCTTCTGCACATCAAAAGTGACACCGTTCGTTTTCAACGACTCTGTCATCGTAGCGTTTTTTTTTTGTCTCTACACATGTCATTTATCTTCACCATTTTTATACGAGCTGAACTGAATTATGGTTCCCAATCTCATTCTCATCAGAGGCGTTTAAATTAGTAATCGATTTGTTTTCTTTCGTTCATTTTTGCCTTTTTTTGTAATATTTATTTTTCATTGTGCATAACATGAAAAAAAGAACCTAATTATTAGTAGACATTTTCAAAATTTTAGTGCGATAGAGAGCAAGAGAGAGTGAGGGAGAGCGAGAGAGTAAGAGTGAGAGTGCGACAGAGAAGAAAAAAAAGCAAAAAAAAAAATAAATAAATTTCTAAAGACTAAAAAAAAAAATGTGCAAAAGTTCAAAGTCCATACAAAAAAAGAAATCATATTGGATTCTATTAAAAAATTATTTTAATGTGTTGAATCATCTATGTCATTAAGTAAATACTTCGCTGAACTGTAAAATGCGTAAAATTTCCAAAACCAGGTGCTCTATAATCTGGAAACAAACGGCTTTACTAATCTTATTCACCCCGAAAAGTCCAAAAATTTGCTTGCATCTCCAAAATAAAAATCGCTTAAATCGAGCAGCACAGCACATTTTCATTTATCACTTTTATTCTTCGTTCCGTTAATTTTCCATTCAAGCCGCAACACCATAAAGCTGTTCGTTTTTTTTTTCTCGTGAACTTGCACAAATTTTTACTGGCTTCCGGCTTTAATGTTCTGCGAACAGAAAATCGAACCAATTGATCAGAGGGAGAAAAATTAAGAAGATTTGATCAGAGTAGGGAAAAGAATTTCCATCAAAAGACCAAATCAATCAAATTTTAAAGAAGATTTCGATCAAAATTAAAAGAAACAAGCAAATAATACACCAATTGTTCGCGTAACTTAAAACCTCCAAGAGAAAAGAAAAACAAAAACCATCGACTGTTCGACTTATGTTTTATCATATTCTAAGAATAAACTCTTTTTTTTTCTCATGTATAAAATTCAACATGTGTCGCCGAGATATCTTTTTAGAATTGTACCGATTTAATTCTAATTTAGTCATGTAGATTGAGTTTAAATCAAATTTGTTCTCAATGTAATAAGAAAATGTAAAACAAAGCAACAACAACAACAACATTGTGTGTAAATATACAGTTTTCCGACGGGATTAAACAAAAACAAACTAATGAAAGAAACAAAGAAAATCAGCCATTCAAAAACCTGAATGGACAACAAAGAAGTTAAATATTTTTCTACACAAAATGAATTACGCGGAAATTGAGAAGAGAAAATAAAAACAACAGAAAAAACAAACAAACAAATACTCTCACTTTGAATGTAAAATAGATTTAAAGTAGACAATGATTTCAATGTAACATTATTATGAATATAATTGAATAAGAAAAGAGAAACATTAATTTGAAACATCAAGAACAACAACAACAACAAAAAAAATCAACAAAAAAGCAACAAAATAAAGAAAAAAACAAATAAATGAAGAAAAAAATACAAAATATTTAAATCAGAAAAAAAAAAAGTTTTTAAAAAAAACCTTAAAAATACCAATGTTTTATTTATCAATACTGTAATCATTTCCAGTTTCGAATATTTCAATTTACTGAGAAATGTTTGAAATATGCGTCTTTGTTTTCAGTCTTGCAATTTCCATTTTTTTCATTTTTTCTTTTCAATTCTTTTCTCCATTTTTGATCTCAATTCGAAATTTTCTTCAATTCAATTTTGACTTCGATTTTAAATTGAAGTTCGCAATCGAATTGAAATAAATGAGAAAAAAATGATTTTGCTTCAACAAAATCGTGGAAAAATGTGTGCTGCCATCTTTTAGAAATGGAAATCTTTCAGTCTAAAGGCAATAATGTGAATCTTCTTCATTCCTCATTAAATTTTCAATTGCGTTTCGCAATTGTTTCGTCCAGGTCTTTCTCTTTTGAAAGAGGGATTGCATTTTTTTTTTTGTCTCTCGTTGCATATTTGGCAAATGTCAGTATGAGTTCTCTTTGTTATGACATGACACACAATCGCATGTTGATAACATTGCAAATGTGACGATGTGCCTGTGTATGAGTGGTGTGTGTGTGTGTGTGTGTGTGTGCATGTATGTGTTGTTGGTTTTGACAGTTGAATTACAACATTGATGTGATGAATGGTTCGATAGCGAAGTGACAGTCTGACATTGCAATATCAAATATGGAGGAATGCTGAACCATCCATCGAACCATCCATAAGACTGTAACACAGTGGCAAAGTGAAACATTGCGGCAATAACTAAGGTCAGCTGTTTACGAAAATCTCCTATTTGATCCATTGGATTTTAATCATTCGGCCCATCGGTACCTGGTCAAACGGTTGAGTTTGAATTCTGTTTTGAATCAGTCTTTGGATTGGATAAAAAATAACACAATTAACAACAACAACACTCAAACGTAACACAATCGAATTGGTGTGTACTTTGTCGTTGATTTGGAACCTTCGGAATTGACCAACCGTATGGAAATCGATTCATTTCGTCTTTGTTAGTCGTTGGAAACGCACACATGCAAATGGCATGATGTGCGACGATCCATTGTAAAACAAATGCCAATATTATGTGGATCCACACACGTATACAACGAAGTAGAGGCAGAGAAGAGGAAAAAAAACACACGGCTGACGTACACGCGCACGTCTGTGTATGTGTTTGTGTGTGAAACGAGAAAATCATTGCAGCATGAGCACCAGAGTGAATCAAAGACAGTAAATAAAAGTCAACCTTACAGTGGAATCACTTTGTGTTAGAATGAAAAGTAAAATGAATTAAAATAATCAAATCCGCACACATTTCATGGAACAAACTACGAAAACTTCCGTAAAATTCAACAAACAATAAAAAAAAAAAAATAGGCAATCGGTTGGTATTGTTATCGACATTACCGTAGTGACTTTTCAATTTGAATTTCAACGTGATTCTACGTGAATCGTAAAGTGTATGTTTGTTTTTTTTTTGTGTGTCTTGTTTTATTTCTTCTTCTCGTTTTTTTTTCAACTATCTCATCATCTTCATTACTATTTTTTCGTTGTTGTTTTTTCTGTCGCGCTACTGTTGTTTATTGTCTTGTATTTTTCCTATCCAGTTTCTGTGTATTTTTCTGGTGAGTGTCATACGACCGAGAGACAGAGAGAAAAAGAGAGAGAGAGTGAGAAAGAAAGAGTGAAAAAAAAACACAATAAAACTAGAAAAAAAAACTTCATTACATATACAGAAGAAATGAGAAAAAAAACCCATCTATTTTAGTGTTGCTTGTGACCATTTGTTGGTGGTATGATGTACACGTGAGTGATGAAAGCTAAAGTGTAAAATAGATTCCTTTTAAATTTGGTTTTGCATGTTTTTTTTCTCGTTCAATTTTCTGTTGCAATTGGGTTGTCTTGGTGTATGTGTGTGTGCGTATTGTGTTGTTATTGTTGGTTTTTTTTTTTTTTTACTCTTTTCATATCAATTTTTTGGAATTTCCAAAAAAAGCGCCACATTCCAATGAAATCGCATTGTTGATTTATCGTAACAACATAGTGCGCCAATTCGAATTCCATTTCTCGGCTATAGGTGTGCTATTAAATGGTATCGAGAATAGAAAAAAAATACAATAATAATAATCAGAGACAGAGTGAGCAATTGAGGATAGTCAAATGAGAGAAGCAACAGAAAAAAGTGGTGGTCAAAAGTGTGGTATTCGAGAGATTTCATTCAAAATCTTGCTTCTCGCTCCTCTCTCTCTCTCTCTCTCTCTCTCTCTCTCTCTCTCTCTCTCTCGCAATTTGATTCACTCTCGATTTGTGTGTATTTATTTTCGGTGTGTTTTATTTCGCTTCGTTTTTCCATCAATTTTTTTTTCATTTCGCGCAATTTGTGTCGTCACACATAATCGACTCAATAGTAATAATATTGCGATCAGTGTGCACTTTTTTTTCGTGTGCATGTGAATTCGATGTATTGCGTTTGTTTGCAATGCAAACTTTGCATAGAATAAAAAAAAAATCGTATATCCGAATCGAAAATATCGAAATTATGAGTGCAATTGGTGGATTTTGGAGCTTTTGATTTGTTCGTTGTTGTAATGGAATTAATTGCGCCGGGAGAGGGGAGTTTTTTCTTCGATTCATTGAATGAAATTCAATATTGTAATGAACAAAAGAAAAAAAAAAGTTCAATAGTTCATTCCGAACATTTGCAAATTCTGTATTCATATCAAACTGGAACAAAACAACGACGACGGCAGAAAAAGGAAAAAGAAAAAAGAACAATCACTTCATATCATTGTCAATTAGTGTTGTGGTTTACTCTTTCATTATTTCCTTCAAAATTCGAAATGTCAATAATAATGTGTTGTTGCAAATGACACACATACACACACTCGTCGAAAATCCACTTCAGTGCAATTAATAAATAAGCCTTCTTCATTATAATTGTGGTCGTTGTTGTTGTTATTGTGTATTGCTCGAATGACGGTGACGACGACAACGGCGGCGTCGATAAAATTTTATCAGTCATTTTATCAAAGTGACACACAGTATTCAACAATTGAATACTTGACACCGTGTCACACATTCACACGTGCCAATCGTGTAAATATGCTAATTACTGAATACCATTGTACTTCATTTCAATTTAGCTTTTCGTGTATGGTTTTGCTTATCTGTTTCGATGTAACGTGTTCCATATCACATGCCATGTAAAGGTTTTTTGTTCTCTCGAAAAAAAAAATTCCTTGGTAAATTTTCTCCATTTTCCAGACGTCGATGAGAATATTCCAGCAACGTCCTTGCTTTTCCATTCTGTTTACTTGATCGTTGAGTTGAGTTACAGAAAACATTAACTATTCGAGATTCTCTTCCGCTGATGCGCGCAAGTTGTTCCTTGTTGCTTGTTTTTTTTTTCTTTAATCTGAAACGGATGAATTCAGATCATCGTGATGTGATAATGAACACAACAACAGCTACAACAAAATATTAACCAATAAAAGTGAAATAGGAAATATTACATAAACAACAACAACAACAGCGACAGATATATCATCGGAGTGTGTGTGTCATTATGTGTTGATATACATTTTTTGAAGAAAAAATTATAACAAGTGATGATCTATACATATTTGGTCCATTGTTATAAGTTTGGTTGTTTTCATTTTTAGAAAGTGTATGGTTGGACAGGACACAACGGTGATTATCAATGAACGCGACAATCTCATAAAACTCATTGTTATCGGAGCTGAGAAGTAGTGTAAATAGAAACAACTACGTGCCACATAATTGATAGCTTGATAGAAAGGAACCTGCAAAACGAAGAAAATAATTTCTTGAATTCAAAATAGCCTGCATCCGTTACGCCAAGCCCGTGCACCTAGCCAGACCCAACAATGACAAGAAATTGTAAATGCCCACACTTGGATAACACTATTTTGCAACTTTCTCTGTCGGAATTGTGCAGACTGAAGCAGGTATTGTATACAAAAACAAAGAAGAAGGAGAATAAGAAGAAGCGTATTGACGTACATTGATTAGCAAATTACCTATGTTCAATAGGATTCCATTTTGATTTCGAAAGATAGATCGACCGAAGGAAAGGGAAAGAAAGATAAATAGATAGAAAAAAGGCGATCTCATTTGATTTCGTCAGAAGTATAAATCGATAAATGCATACACGCATTCCAATCGTTTCGTTGACGTTACACGCATATCTGCACGTCTTAAACTAGTTCTATGAATATGAAATGAGCATGCATTTCCATGTGACGTCGATTGATTACAAAAAATGCATCAGCATACACATTCAAACAGAACGAATCGATACAGCGGGACAGGTGCAAAGTCCAATATCATAGCAATTGCCATTCGGTCGATACGTTCCCACGTTCATATTACATTAATTTTTCTGTTTTGGTACACAGTGATTTTTCATCTTCTTCTCTCTTTCTTGCTCAATCACTTCAAATCTTTATATAAATCATTCATTATTAAAGAATTATTCAATTTAAAGCAGCTACCAGAGCTGTCACATATATAGAGAAACCATAAAATTGCATTTTTTCCCCAAACGGATTTCGCAATCAAATTTTTGTTTTTGTTTTGTACTCAATCACTACAACCAGCAGCAATGACAATAACAACATGGAGAGTGAAAAAACGAAATCCAATTAATGCTTTGCGTATATTTTGAAAATTCAATTAGGGCGTGCCATGTACACAATGTGACGTTAGCGGACCGAATCTATGGATATGCCTAACAAAAACTTGCCTGCACATTGGCTGCTCAGAAAATTATAATGATCACAGTACAATCCATTACAAACACAATCCTAGTCACTGTATTCACATGAACCAATCGTCACAACGGATTTGGTGTTACAAATGTGAAATGGAAGTGTTCATCATCAATCATGGCTACAGTGAGACAAAATCGAATCGACGTCAAACCATCGACTCGGATGATCATTTAAATTCGGAAATATCGCGGTATGAAAACAATTGTTCTGTGTCCAATAAATATACGTAGATAAATTCGGATGGTTTTTTTTTCGTCTATTCCATCGGCAGCATGATAATTCGCAATGATTTTGGCTATGGCATGACCAACAACAGTGATGGCATCGACAGCAGTGCAGACGATGAAGGCGATCCTGATCAAAGCTACTACACATCATCCAGTGGATTGGTTGGGCTACAAAACATTGCAAATACGTGCTATATGAACGCTGCACTGCAGGCACTCTCGAATACACCACCATTGACGGGATACTTTTTGGAGTGCGGCGACATTATAGAGGCTAATTATGAAATGGCCGCACCGACCAGTAGTCAACGCAAAACTGGCCTAGCCAGAAGCTATTATCGTTTGGTTAAGGACATGTGGCTGGGACACAAACGGAAAAACGGTTACATTACCAGTGCTAGCAAATTCGGTGAGTGAAATTTGATGTGGCTTTTTGATGTCTGATTTCATCGCTTTTTTTTATTCAAATTTTTCAATTTTCGCATAATTCTACCTCAATTCCAGGCTACGTCGTACCAAATGGCATTTTGTATGGCATTCGAAATGTACATCCAATGTTTCGGGGTTTTCAACAGCATGACACACAAGAATTTCTGAGGTATAAATGCAGGAAGCCGATTTGAAGAGCGATTCTTTTAATTTGAACATTTCAATGGGTGAATTCCAAAATTTCATCAAACATTTTCCCATTTTCAGATGTTTTATGGACCAACTGCATGAAGAGCTTAAAGAAGTGACACCACCGCCACCAGATCTGTTATTATCCAGCAAACAAAATAGTTCATCTGCCAGTTTGTCATCAATTTATTTACAATCGACCGCCAACACTACCACCACCACCACTGGCAATTACCTGTCAATGGGTTCAACCGACGATGACCGATCCGGTTGCTCGACACCATCGCAATCACAGTCGGAGGCTGAGTACGAAACCTGTGATAGTGGTGTATCCGAACAGTCGAGCCTATCGGATGAGATGACAAGTGTTCATCGATCAATACCAAATACAATCAATTCAGCCAAAATCCAAACGAATCAAATGCAAATGCAATCAGTGGCCACTGCATCGAATTATTCGCGATCGCCTAGTCCAACAGCAAGCCAAAGAACCTTTAAATCGACACATTCGTCAATCAAAAGCAATCGCTCGAATTCGATATCAAGCCTAAATTCGTTGCAATTGAATTCACAACAACAGCAAACCCAACAAGATCAAGAGCAATGTGAAAAGAATGAATCGACATCATCAAAGTTACCCCATCGATCGATCATAAGCGATGTGTTCGATGGAAAATTATTGTCGTCCGTTCAATGTTTAACCTGTGATCGCGTATCGACGCGTGAAGAAACATTCCAAGATTTATCATTGCCAATACCGGGAAAAGACCATTTGAATGTCATACATCAGGCCCAAATGCCACCATTACCACCGGGCCTTTCACCCGATGCAGTAAGTATTGCTTTGTATTCACAGCGATTACCGACAATTGAATCCAATTTTCTTCTCATCAAATAGGCATATCAAGATGGTTGGTTTTGGTGGTTTTGGCATTGGGTTCGTTCATTTTTCTGGGGTCCAGCTGTCACACTGCACGATTGCATGTCAGCATTCTTCAGTGCGGATGAACTGAAAGGAGACAATATGTATAGGTAAAAGTGAATTTTGCAGCATTTTCTTCTGTTTTCAACGTGGAAATCATAAAATCTTACGCATTTTTCTTCTCCTGGTTCTATTCACAGCTGTGAAAAATGCAATAAACTGCGAAATGGCATGAAATTTTCGCGTGTTCTGGAACTACCTGAAATGTTATGTGTTCATTTGAAACGGTTTCGACATGATTTATCGTACAGTTCAAAGATATCGAGTCCGGTGAATTTCCCAATGGTTGGATTGGATATGCGACCGTATTTGCATAAAGAATGCAAATCAAAGGTGTCAACGTATGATTTAACAGCGGTAATATGTCATCATGGTACGGTTGGTGGTGGCCATTACACCAGTTTTGCAAAGCATGAAATGTCGGGCAAATGGTTTGAATTTGATGATCAAATTGTTACGGAAGTATCACCGGAAGTCGTTCAAAATTGCGAGGCTTATGTGCTGTTTTATCGTAAAAGCAATCCACAAATGTCATTGATTCGTGATCATGCCGTTCAAATTGAGGAGCGAATCACCGAACAAACGCCTGGCATTCGATTCTTTGTATCGCGCCAATGGTTGAATCGATTTAAAACATTCGCCGAACCGGGACCAATCGACAACTGGGCACTGCTATGTCCACATGGTGGTCTATCTCCACGCAAAGCTCGAATGGCTAGTCAATTGGTTGTGCCATTGCCGCAGGCACTGTGGGATTATCTGTTTGAGAAATTTGGCGGTGGACCAGCGTGCAATCATTTATTCGAATGTGATATATGTCGACAACAAGCCGATGCCCTGATACGACGTCAAAATTTTGAATTAGATGAATTTTCGGCATACAAAGATGAGACCACGTCAACCATTTATGCCATTTCAATGAATTGGTTCCGGCAATGGCAAATGTTTGTGGGTGATGTGAGCGAAGAAATTCCCGGACCAATAAACAACAGTGCAATCGCATTGCAATCCGATGTGCCGGTGTCACGTGGTGTTAAACCCGGTTCCGATTATGCACAAATCAATTCAACGCTATGGAAATTCTTTTATAATATTTATGGTGGTGGGCCGGAAATTATTTTACGAGGAAATCCCGAAGAAAATATGCGACAACCGATCGTTCAATCGGCAACACCAAATTTGAATCGAGACCGTGACGAACGTAATTCAATAGATTTATCATCAGTAGATGCTCAAGCAAATGTTATGGGCATTGGCAAAGAAACAAATCCAGTACCTGTGCAAACACATAATCCAAACCCAAACGTATCGTCAGCCGATGCACGGAGTACAACAAGTGATATCGATGCAGCATCGAAAGCAGCTACACAATTAAACGGCAACGATCGGGTGAATGGCCAAGAGCAAGCCGCCACACATCCAACGACTAGCAAAAAAGTTTCGAAAAATGTCTCGTTCGAAGATAATGACAGCAATTCAAGTGATAGAGAGGGATCGAGCTTGTTTGAGCAAAGCTTTTTCTATATACGACGCGGCAAACATCATTATTCAACGAATCCAGTTTCTGCTCCCAACGAAATTCTTAGCAAAAAAGATCGACGACTACGCAGCATCAAATCCAATGGATTTTTCGGACCCGAAGGTAAGCTTTCTTCAATGACCAATCTATTTAACTAGGCTGGATATTAATTTGGATCGTTTTTATTTGCGTATTTTTAGGCAAATATTCAACGAATAACTGTCCCGATGACAGTGCGAATAATGTAAATGGAAGCGTCTCATCATCGACCGCCGAGGCAAACAAGAAATTAGACGAAATTACACCATTGCTGCATCAAGCTAGCATTAGTTCAACGAATTCACATGAGCAAGACGATGAAGCGAATGCTAGTGCGGTAAATGGCAGCAATCGTGGTGGTGCTCACAAAAGCAACTATCGCAAACGTGTTAAGACGAAATTAAGCCGAAAAATAGCCTGATGACATGTTCAACCAATGAAATGAATCGTTTGACACCATCTAAAACTGTAAAACTGTACTTTATATTATTTAAATCATTCGTTTCCGGAAACAGGAAGCCATGTTTCATCGACCTGAAATATTTTGAATATTGAAGAAAAGAAAACAATATATTTTCAAATGAAAACGAATCTCTTTTTATTGCCATTTTTTTCGATCATTTATTCAGCCATGACGTTGGAAATTTGCACGAGATGGTAGGTTATCTGGAATGTTTTGACGTATGAATTAGGGAGATGAAGGTCATCGTTCCTTGAATTAGCTAGTTCAAGACGTAACCAGACGTGTGCAAGGGGGGGGGGGGGGTATTCCGGTTTTACCCCTTCTCTAGGATTCCAAAATGTGGACCCCCCAGCGATTTGGAAAATTTGACACTAGATATAATCGATTTTCAAAAGTGAGGACCTTTTTTTTCAGTCCTCACTTTTTTCGGAGACTGGTTTTACACTAGATAGAATCGATTTCCAGACCCCCCCTGGCAAAATCATTTTACCCCCCTAGAATTTTTGACCTTGCACACGTCTGGACGTAACCCAATGATCTGCGCTTAATATCTGCAATCACTGAACTGCTGTTCATTCGTAGAACCACATTTTGATTGAACTGGAATTGTTCATAATTCAATTTTCATCAATTCAAAGTCTGTCATTTTTACGGGTTAGGTTGAGAGTAGTGTATCTTTTTTGACGACTTAGGTATATTTTATTAAGTGGAGTATTGTTCACTAAGAATTCAATGTAATTTTCAATTCAATGACAAGAAATATCAATCGGATTAATGTCTCAAATAGACCTATATCTGTCGAAATAAACAATTTATTTCAAGATTTGCTGATCCAAAGTCTGTAGAACATGCACCACACTTAATCTAACCCAAAGATTTTATATTCAAACGTGAGTTCATATCAAAATTATCGACTAAAGCAATGAAACCAGGCAAACATCTAAATTTCTAATTAACAAACATCTAAATCTCATTATTTGTTCAGTGCTTCACAGAACGATCAATTTTGGAACCTTTTTTGACATATTTTTAATGACAAAAAAATGAATTTTTGAAATATTTGAATAAATTTTTGAATTTCCGCATTGAAACACCATGAAATATAAGAAAAAAGGTCAGCAGGAAATCTTTCGAAATATCACCATAAAAAATGTACTAAAAGAGCTGAAAAAACACCTGTTTGCATTGTGAGAATTTGCCTAACTAGCGAGAAACTTGGTTTGTTAAGTATAAGAACCAAGAGGACCTAGATAATATGCATAAACTATGGGTAATAACATCTAAATTTTCTTAAGGAAAATATAGGAAAGCAGAAAAAAATCTATTTCGAACACAAAAATCTAAAACAAAATCATTTCCAGTCTATTTATAAAGTTTCAATTAATAATTAACGTGGAAAAATGTTAATTCCTTCAGATTTCTGACCCATTACTGGCAAAAATATTCATAAGGAGGTAGAAATACCTACTAGAACCGTATACAACTCCTTCCAAATATAACATAGTTTCGAATTTCAAGCGAAAATAGAATTCCCAAGTTTCCATGGTGTTTGCAGCACCTTTGCGAACGTATTTGACTACAACCCTAAGAGTAAATTACGACCTTATAAGCAAGAGTGGACACTATTTTGGGATATATCTCCCTTATTTGACACTTGATCAAGCTGTAAATGTATTTAAACTCTTTGTAGAGCATGTCATGTTACGAATCAAGTAAAAATTTATAGATAAATATGAGATATAATTTCTTATAAATGCGATTTTTGGAATGTTATTTAATTCTATTTTAGCTACAATTTTGTGGGAAATAAATAGATTTTCTGCCCGAAAATGATGAAACAAATTGTTCTTTTTTGACATTTTACTCCAAAACGATGATCAGAAATGATTCTTTTAATATAATTTGTTCATGAAATGTATTTATTCAAGTACAATTTAGCCGATGGCATTGTTATTTTCCACATTTACCCATACAGAAAGAGTTATCGATATATTGTCAAAATCAATGAGTTCAATTCGATTGACTAAAAATCGATTCTTATACTTGCAAAACTTGCAAAATACAGTGAGGGTTTTACATATGGTGGGACAATCATCTCCTCAGAGGCAAATATGACGTCAATCTCCGTTCTGTTTCTTTGTATTTTTAGTTTACTATAGTGAGTATACCTAAGTTTGATCATTCTGAATTCATCAGTTTTTCTGAAATTTATCATTATAATAAGTTAAGTAAGGGTAAGTTTAATTATATCATCTTTAAGGTCTATGTTGAACAGGTAATATACAGAATAAATGATATCAGTATTTTCAATGAAAGTTAGACTTGATTTTCATTGAATCAATGAATCATTGAATGTGTTGATTCAACAGAAAGTATTTATATACATATACCAGCGATACACTCATACATTCACCGAATGTTCACAGCTTTTCTAAAACGTGATCAACAATTCGTATACTTTTAGTCTTACTTTAGTCGTTGCCAGCAGACCACGCGTTGTCATATTAATATATGATGAAATTAGGTAAGTAAGAATTTGGACTTTTTTCAAAATGAAATTAAAATAAAAGGAAATGATTTGAATTGTTGACGAGAAAATGTATATTTTTGAAAAATAAATCAAACCTTGTTCGATGTTGATAATTCGAATATTTTACTTTTTTTGAAAAATATTTTATTTGTGGGCTAGGCATCTATGTACTGGCATTTAATGATTATATAGCATATGTGCATTGAAATGGCGTTGTACACGTTATCACATATGAGGCACATATAAGACGTGTTTAAGACGCATATGAGACAGTAAACATTCAATTATTCGAACTCTCTCGCTTATTGGTCAATTCGTTAAACGAATTCCGTTTGTTCGTAAGAAATTGTTCAACTGATTACTGTGGGTGGATTCATCCAGATTCAATTTCTTCTGGAAGTGAATCATTCTAGTTTGAAAGTATAGATCGCATCATTTTTGCCATTTTTCTTCTAAATTTCTTCAGATTTGATGAAAAACGTGTTGTCATGCATTTTTTTCAAACATTTTTTTTTAACGAATGAATGATTATCGACGCCTTTAGAACAAAAACCAAAACCAATATCAGAACCAGAATCAAGGTCATTGAGTCTTGAGTGAACAAGAGTATTGACTGTACTTTTAAATACGAGTGGAGACACCATGCGAAAAAAGAGACTAAAATTGTGCCAAATAAAAGCTTTTCCTTAGGATAAAACCTATAGGAAACCCTGAATTACATTCAAAGATTTCCAAATTCATTATAAATGATCAAATTTTATTATTCTCTTTTACAGACTACATCTTTGTGGATTACGTAATACGACAAGCTTGTCGCTATTTTGATTGTGTATTCGTCGAAAAAAAGCTATGAATGAATTCATTCAAGTCAAAATGTCTTACACTGATACGTGTAATGCAAACAAAAGTCAGGCGTATACACGATCACACCCAGTGATGTGTGTATGTGAAATTTAAATCTGCTCAATGAAGCAGCGGACTTGTCGGCACACTCGTGGATTTAGCATTTCACTTGCTTTGGCGATTCGTGAGTTGCTGAAGCATCATATATGCAGTGCACTC